TTGTGCAGGCGGAAGCCGCAGTTGAAGAACTCATGTCTTCATTTAAATGGCTCAGGGATATGTTGAAGGGTGTTTCTGATGAAATGCTTCAAACCCATCCATTTTACCGTCACCCTGGGCCTCAGATGATACTCAGCGGGAGGGTTTTTGACCCAGAAAAAGCTAAATCATTTGCAGCGAGTCATCAAAAAATAGTCTATTTGCTTTCAGAGTGCAGAGAACTATTTAAGAAGCCGTTTCTAACCGAAGCGGAGTCTAGCCTGCTTATGGAGAACACGGAACGCCTGTGCGGATATGCAGCAAACCGCATGCCGGTCAGTAGCGAGCCAAAAAATGCCATTGACAATCTTGGAAGGGCGTTTATTGTTCTCGATAGTCTATACTGTTCAGCAGAAGTGCTTGGAAAGAGCGCCAGGAAGGAGGTGTGGTGGCCATGGATAGCCCNAGTCTATACTGTTCAGCAGAAGTGCTTGGAAAGAGCGCCAGGAAGGAGGTGTGGTGGCCATGGATAGCCCATCACATAAGAACTGCAGGGCACGGCCTTCGCCCCCAAAAGCTTCTCTATGGAGAGCCAACGTGGAGTTATGCCGTCGGAACTGCTGTTAATGCTGCGTTCGGGTACTACAGGTTAGGGGAAAGAGCTCCCCTGCGTCTTGTGGTCTGCTTAAAATTGGCGCTTGTGATATTATCCAAGTCGACGGAGTTCAAAAGCATCAAGTGGGAGCCTTGGAGACTAGATGCCGAAGAATGGCTTTTCACCAAAGCGGATGGCGGAGGGGATAGTGATGAATCAGATGAAGAGTGAACAAGACGCCGGTTATGAAATGAAGTTCGTGCACTTCGGAGCACAGATGTGCGCCAACACTTGTATTCGCTGCAGCCATAGGAGGCTAAGGCGCAAAGCTAAGCAAGATATCAGGAAGTCTGTGCAGCGATAAAATTCGTTTGTCTTTGGAAATGAGTGGGTTCAAAGGAACCATAATGATAGATNAAGTCTGTGCAGCGATAAAATTCGTTTGTCTTTGGAAATGAGTGGGTTCAAAGGAACCATAATGATAGATATTAGTTGTCCAAGCATCTAGGTTGTTGATACTGCAGTATTGGAGGCTCGGATTGGCTGAATAACGTCGTCTTGTGAGGCCTGTGCAGAGTATGTTGATGTCCGTATATAATCTAGAGCCCTTTAATGATAACTCTGGAAGGGCTAACGATATACAAAGGACGGATGTGACGTAACGGAATAAAAAGGCGCCGGACTGGATGGTCAACCACCAAGATATAGTGCCTCCAGTTGAGGGCAAAACCGAAGTATACGACCAATGAAAATCCGAATTCTAATGAAAGCGCCTCCCTTTCCAACGCAGCGGAGCAGGAGCCGACACTCTCATTGAGTTACTCTCCACGACTGAGCAGTGGGCCAGTTGCTGAGGGCAGTCGGAAGTCCCAATGTGGAACTTCTTCTCCGCAAATATGTACAAAATGTGCATCAAATGCGCTTTGTCTGTGTTTATTCGGTTGGGCTTTCCAGTGTATTTGAATGCCTAACAGCGGTTCGTCCCGATCACCTGTAACGGTGGAGTCGCGAACGGATTTTACTTTATTCGCTGGGGTCTATCCATCGCATCGATCGACGTGTAGAAGTTGGTGAAAACATGCGTAAAGACCCCCCTTTGATGTACTTTGTTGACTTCCAATATGTGTTTCAATAAGTGTTTAGTGCTGTGCTTCATTGTGCCTTTTCAGTTTCGTGAATCGACGACATTCCGTCTTGTCAGTTCGCATCAGCGCATATATGAGGTAGGCCTTGGCATTTTCGGCCGTAATCTGGCATCTACGGATAGCCGGGAAAGTGTCCGGTTATGTTGTAACCAGCCAAGCTGGTGCTGCACACTGGCAACGGCGGTGTCTTTCGTGAAGGCTGCTTTTTCCTGCGACTTCTGCGGCCACTGGGCAAGCAATCATTGTGTAGTGCATGAGCTCCAGAAGGTATTAGTTGCGTTATGTTTTATTGCAAGTTTAGAATATGAATAGAATACTTTATTTAGAGTTTCTCACGTAGACTGGTAACGGAAGAGCGGTAGGGTGTTTTGGCAGAACACCTTAGGGATCCCTGACTTGGAGCTATACAAGATAAGGCTGCCGACTGCTACCGGACACTCTGAGAGCATGGAAAAGTGACACTGTCTAGCAAGGTGCCTACCCCGGGTTCCCTGTGAACGGGGGTTCGGTTACTCCCTGAGAACTTTGTTTCTCAATGTTTCTAGGAAGTTTCGATGAAGATGGTCCCTAGCTTATATCTCCTCTTCAGCTATCCGCTCTGCTCTATCGATCGACTACTCGAGAGGTGAATATCGATGCTCCTCCTTTGGTGACGCTGCAAATTGTTTCTTATGATATGTGTTATGGGATATACTTATTAGGATGGAGTAAACTGGTTGATAATTATTTCAGTTGGAAATATATAACTAATACGATATATATACTTAATTACTACGTATCGATTGCATATCTCTCCAGCAAGCCTGGTGATCCCCACTGGCGTCGTAGTGACCTGCGGCGAAGTGCTCAGCAGAGCACTTACAGGCTTGCTGGAGAGATAAGAAAGCTATGGGGAGTAACTAAGCAATATATATTTATATATATAACTTCGCCAGAAATAATAGTCAACCTGTTTACTCTACTTGAGCACAACAAATATATACCGTAAAATAAGAAAAACTAGTAATAAAGGCTCCGCCTGTATTATTACTAGTCTCACTTTGGTTTGCTGGAGGAGCTTGGATCTTTCTTCCACCGAAGTACATATACTTCCTGCGACGACTTCAGCAACTCCGCACATTTCGACGAGTAATGAATTAGGTATACGAGCGGGCATCATCGCACTAATCAGCATATCTCTGTCAGTCTGTCTGCAGCTTATGTGTAATGCATGAGCACTACAATGAGTTAGTTTCATTATTTTCGTTAGAGAGGCAATGTTGTTTATCAGGTAGAAAGTACTGGGTTCGCCGTCGCGCATAAGTCGGTTAGCGACAATCCGTTAGAGATTATTTCCGCAGCCAAAATATCTTTTGTGTCGTCAATAAGTATTGAATTATTACTTCCAGGTCATTCTTGACCTGACCTCTTGAACCCCAGGGCATTGCAGTTGTGGGCCGTTGTGATTTAAAATCGCCTTACGTTTCTCTGCGNGACCTCTTGAACCCCAGGGCATTGCAGTTGTGGGCCGTTGTGATTTAAAATCGCCTTACGTTTCTCTGCGTTTGTCGGCCTGTTTTCGTCCTGGGTTAAGGCGGATTCGGCTTGTTGCACGGTCGACACTACCACAGAGATGCGCTTAGCGGGCGCAGGACCTTTTCGAGCGGGTAGTGTAGTGTAGAGCTCTCTCTGTCGCTACTATCATTATGTCCTATGCCTGCCTTGTAATGCGAGTTTCTGGCCTTGCTTAAGGTCTAAAGTGAGCAGAAATGATGCCAAAGACTTGATGTAAAAGTTCCCCCACAAAGCAGCTGATATCCTTTCTCAGTCCGCAGGTATCTTGGGCGTTGAGCTCAGTTTCTGGGGCTCGCGGAGAGGAGGCAGCCTAAGTGGAGTTGTAGCGCACCTCGCTGCGGCTGGGGAAGGAAGCCAGCCTCACGTGTGCACAGAAGTAAAATGCAACGACGCTTCCTTTACTGCATGCTTTACCTCTGCATACGCTTATCTGGTGCTTGTTTTTGCTTGCGCGCAACCAACTGAAGCCAAGTGAATGTTCCTGTGGTAACTGCAGGCAGACTCCGTTACACCAGTGGGCATTCACCACATGAGGCACTGACCCCTACGGGGTCAGGGCAGGGTAAGAACTATTACTATTCTTCTTCGCCTTGGACGATGTGACTCTGATACGAATAAGAGGCTGTTAGTTGGTATTTTGGCTTAGTTTTGGGAAATTACGTACAGTGTAGCACATATATGCAGAGCATCCACGAAGGTAAGCACAGAACATAATAGTAGTGACGTCAGAGTGACCTGCGTCACTGCACGATGTCTCCTGACCAACTTGAAAATCACAGGAAAGAGGTAACCACACTCACTGATAAATGATAGATCATAGCCACCTCCAGATGCTCATTCACTCTTACGGGGGGATGTATAAATATGACGATAGTTCTCGAGAGAAGCAGATGCTGATGGATGTTAGCTATTAAGCTCTCAAAACGTGGACGGTCACGCCTGATTTCCCCCTGCCCCCGATACAGACGATCTTCAATATTCTTGGTGGCGTGCGGCATCTCTCAACCCTCAACCTCAAATCTGGCTTCCACCAGATTCCCACGGCCCCGGAAAGCCTTTGGAAGATCGCGCCCTGCTCCATCTTGGGTCGCTTTTAATAGAAAGTGATATCCTTTGGCCTTAGTGGCGCTCCTGCAGCATTCCATGTGCCCCAAATCACTCTGCCGAGACACAACATGCTTGTTCCAACCACTTCGCATCCCTTGGAGGCGCTGGAGCAACGTCTCTATGAATTTCATCACAGACATAACCCGGCAGTTGAGTGACGAAATCCAC